GTAAAACTCTCATTCTCATTTAATTTTGTTATCTGTGCCTTATGGACATCACTAAAGTTATACTTAGAGTAAATTATTTTGTTTTACGCATTTAACTTTATCTGCCATTTAACTTGTACCTATGGAAAATAAAAGAGTAAATACTACTAATGTTAATTTAATAATTAATTAAAGCTTTGATCTAATTCTACCTGTAAATAGAAAATGAAGGGGAATATATGTTCTATATGCTTTAATATTTATTCATCACAAGTGAGTTTGGTATATAAGCCTCAAAGAGCTTCCTCCCCTAAATTTTTTTATTGCTCTCTGAAAGTAATTTTGGGCTCGTTATAATTACTTGGTAAAAGGAAAGAAAGGAAAGGTAGAATTTCAGTGAATAATTTTTTGGTTTAGAAGCTTTAGGGTAAGGCAGCACCTGTGATTCAGTGAGTAGGGTGCCAGCCCATATACAGAGGGTGGTGGCTTCAAACCAGGCCCCAGCCAAACTGCAACAAAAAAATAGCCAGGTGTTGTGGCGGGTGCCTGTAGTCCCAGCTACTTGGGAGGCTGAGGCAAGAAAATCACCTGAGCCCAAGAGCTGGAGGTTGCTGTGAGCTGTGACGCCCCAGCACTCTACCAAGGGCAATAAAGTGAGACTCTGTCTCTAAAAAAAAAAGTATAGAAGTTTTAGGGTTAATAATGTGGTAAGTCTAGACACAAAATCTCATGTCTTAAATTCTTCCCTAAAGGATGATGACTATATTAAAAAATATCTCAGACGACATCCAGTCAGGTGGATGATGAAACCCAAGTCCAATGACAAAGACAACAGAACAGAATATTCAAAACGAGGACTTCAGTGAGCTGTCACAAAACTTCCTGGCATAATCTCTTCACTTTCATCTGTCAGGTTACCCGTAAGACAGCCTGTTGCATCATAGCTGTGTATGCTAGTATTAATAAAATGCATACTATGCCCAGAGCTCCAAAGATTCATTTTCTCAAGCATTGCCAGCCCTGGAATATGAGCATAGTGAGGACAATAGGAACACCTGTGAGACGTGTGCCTCGCAAAGAAATCCAGAGACTATACAGCTTCAGCCTCTTGGAAAGCTACAAGAATCTCAATTTTTTCTTCAATCCATGACAATCCTCAAAGATGTTTCAGAAGCCCGCAGGGATATAGAAATGTCAAGACTTCTTTCAAGAGAAAAATAACATTTATGAGGGTTCTAAATTATGCAAAGAGGTAAGTGATTCCGAGATTCTTTCTGACTGACACTCATAAATAGCCTGATACAAAGAGATGAAATAAGGGTCTTCCCAAAGTGGGTGTTTGTTCTGTGCAGATTATCGTCCTTTGATTCTAGACTCTGACACATAGCAGCACTTACCAGTCCTACAATAATGTACCTGTTCACTGGAGGAGCTCAAGAGGATATCCACGTTTGCCTAAACGAATAAGCCAGCAGCAAGTTCCATCAGTTCTTCAGAGAAGATGCTAGTACTAGTCCTTCACTGACTGAGGGTGTTCTTTACACTACTATATTCTTATAGACAAAGAACCACTGTGCGTCCCTTCTGTGGGTATAATGGCATTTAGCCTGGCTTTCTTGTGTCTTATAATTAGGGGTACAAATGAATTATATTCATCATTTATACAGCCATTTGCAGAATTCTTTTATGTAAAAATTAAAAAATAACGGTGGAAATGCATTCAACGCCCTAAATTGATACTAGTTTCGGTCTGCTTTGTATTCAGCAAAGAAAAAAAAAGAAGCTTAAATGAATTTATTTTATAAGTAAAATCATTATATCCCTAAATTCTTTTCATTATATAAATGTATGATGCCAACAGAAGGGAACCAGAATGGTTTCTCTAACATTACAACCCCAATGCCTCATCTATTTCCTAAAATTATACTGCATGACTCTCAAATCAATTAGGAAAGTACGTAGAACTGGAGTACAATTTTCAAGAACTATTTATTTTTGTTAAGTTGAAATATTTGGTAAAGACTTTGTAAATAAATGCTAACTATGTTTATTCAGACCAATAGTGTGCTAAGGATTTTGTTTAGGAATTCAAGATTTGTTTAGTATTTCTGTGTTTTATTCGCACAAAACTCTTAGTATGAATTAGTCTTTAAATGTCTCTGCTAATCAATTAAATTATTTTTCTAATTTCTGATGTAAAAAAAAATTCATTCAATAAACACTCTCCCTTTAGAATACACAGAAATAACCAAGTTTGTTTATTTTCTAAGAGAAAGATAGTTTCAATTCTCCCATGAAAGTAGACAGATCTTCTAGTGGGTTTTTTTCCTGTTTTTTTTTTAATTAAACTTTATTTTGAAATACTTTAAATTCACATGCAGTTATATGAAACAACACAGAAAGATTCTGGGTGCCCTTTCCCAGTTTCCCCCAATGCTAACATCTCACAAAACTAGGACAATGTAACAACTGCACTCTCAGCATTGTTCCGGTCAACACACAGGACACTTAGCACCACAGGGTCCTCCTCTGGCCCTTACTCAGCACACCCTCTTCTCTCCTGCAAGCCAAACTCCTCCCCGTTATTTTCCTCCTCCTCCTCCTTCTCCTCCTCCTGCTCAGCCTACTCAAGGTGAAGATGACAAAGATGAAGACCTTTGATGATCCACTTCCACTTAATGACTAGTTAAGTATATTTTCTCTTTCTTGTGTTTTGTCTAGCTTATTTTTAAAATATGGTATATTTATTTATTATATTTATGTATATATAACATAGAAAATATGTGTCAATCAACTATAAGGCCTCTGGTCAGTCACAGGCTATCAGAAGTTATATGTTGGGAAGTCAAAAGTTAAACGTGAATTTTTGACTGCATGGGGGTCAGTACCCCTAACTTTATGCTGTTTAAGGGCCAACTGCATTACATACAATATCTAGACTATTTAGTGTGGTTAGTTGGAGGAACAGGAAAAGTGTGCCCAGGCTTGGACTTGTCCTCTGGGTTCTAGAGGAATAGGAATATCGGCTTCCCCTAGCACTCTCTGTGCCCAGTCCCTACATCTGAAATCCTACTTGAATAGAATTTATCCCTGAAATCTCTCCCAATGACTTCCAATCATATGTGTTTTCTCTATTTTTAAAACTTTGTAATACTTATTTTTCAGTTGTGATATGGCAATTATGTTTGATACCCTTACATTATTGCCATTATGTTGAACCACATGAAATTGCTGATAATTTTAACCTATAAAAATGGCAATCCTATATGGCTCAATCTACTGTTTCTTTTGACTTTAGAGCTCCTAAATAAAGACCCTAAACAAAGAGCAGGCTCCAGAAGACAGGGCTCAGTTTTGCCTTTGGGATCCCCTTTGAGGCCTAGAACATTGGAAGTACATAAGAAATGTTTATAAAAATAAAGACTCTTAAATCAATAAATATCTTATGCAAATATGTTTGTAAAATAAATCTTCTGTAGCAATTAGTCTAACTAAATGTGAAATAGCTAATTGTTTACAATCAGCCCAAATGGCAGAGGTGAGTCTTGTTAGAACCTGAAAGTTCTGGTAAATAAAATGTTTTGATTCAATGAGCTGTGTTAAAATTATTTATCTGTTAAGGAAACATTCTTGAATATAGAGGTTGACAGTTACAGTGAAAAGCTTTTTAGTTGACTGAAATATATATAAAAAAAAAACCACACAAAATACTTTTAGCACTTGCACTTCTCTCATAAAATCAAATTGCCTAAAAGCAAAGCACAGCAGTTGTGCACAATGAGGTTGTGCCTCGCCCGTCAGCAGGAGAAGCAAAGGAGAACAATGGGAGCAATCTGCATTTCTGTAGCCTCTTTGTATATCCAAATTCTGAGAGCATTTCACAAAGCAGTGACTACAGACAGTCACCCAGTAGAGACAGTGAGAGGATGTGGATACAATGAGAGGTTAAGACCCCACACCCCAACCGGAGAGGCCCCTGTGCACAGCGGGGGTCCCCACACAGCTGTAAACAAGAGGGCAATTAATCAGTGCTGGTTAAGAAAGGGGGAAACTGTGTCTGCAGGGTTCTTGGACAACCACGTGGACCGTCCACGGAAAGCATTTAGTCTTTCCGACTTTTGGGAAGAAAAGCTTCAGCACAGGTGGAATTGCATTTGCTGGCTACCCCAGCAAATTAGTGGTCTCTGCTTCTAGGTGATGCCTCTGTTCATCAGTCACTGAACCACTTCCCCCCAATTGCTACAAAAATCACTGCTCTGAGTGAAACGGGATGAAAGTGTATGGGGCTTTGATGGAGCTCTGCACAGTGGGGTGCCCCGGAGCTTAAGCCAAGAGAGCAGAAAGCATTCCTCACTCTGCACTGTTTTGGAAAGCTATTCCAGGGATGACTTTACGGAACCTTGGAAAAATTAAATACAAGGGTATGCTTTTGCTGTGCTCCAGACTTCCTTGCCCACCAGCTTTGGAACTGTGCCATTCTATCCAGGACAGAGAATTCTCAGAGCTGGCTGTAAGTGGGGCCCTGAGCCCGCACCTCCTCTGGCACCGCGTAGCAGCAGCCTCGATTGTCCTCCAGGGGTCACAATTGGGTTGTGAATTCCTACAGCACAGAGACTGAGCAGCCTGATTTGGAACAATTTATTCGAATCCTTCTTCATTAAGATTCAAATGGAATAAGTAAGGTAGAAATTGAACAGACACAGAAATTGTGCCTTACTGCTCCTGCAGTCAGTAAACATTTATTCACCAAGCCCAGCTCGGTGTTCCCTCTCTCCCTCTCTCTCTCTCTCTCTCTCTCTCTCTCTCTCTCTCACAGTTGTTCTTCCAATCCTTCCTGCTTGCTGTTTTAATGCATAATTAAGAAGGTCAGAATTAATGAAGCAGTGTGGAGTAAAGTTCAAGGAATCCCCAGGCACTATTTATTCTATTAGATCTCAGGCATGAATGTCAGATTGGCAGCGTAAGCGGCATAAGCGATGGGGCTGGCTGCATCCCCAGAACGTCCGCCAGGGGAGACTCACCTGCACTGTCCAGTCATTCCTCAGCTCCTTCCCAGCGAAAATCACACGCAACTGGTCAGCTGGAACCCCCTGTCGCTTAGCAACCACCTCCTTGAGCTGGAAGATGCTGGTGTCAGAATCGACCTCCACTGGGAAACCATGGCTGGAGTTGAACCTGACAAACACTGACCGAAAAAGTGGGAAGGGAGAAAAGAGAGTGAGTGTCACTCAGAGCCCTTACGTGGGTCCAGCAACGCTCCTGACCTGACCACCCCACATCACCCTTCAGTGGAAGGAATACATTCTCTTTCATCTGTAATGAAAACCTTGATGCTCTGGGGCACTATCTGGGAAGAACAGAGTCTCGCCCATGGGGTTTCCCTTTCATTTATGAGTCAACGACCCCAAAACCCAAACTGCATTCTCCCTTTGAGATCCACCCTGGGAAACAGAGGTCTCAAGCAGAACACTCTCCTGACTGCAATTCTAAGAGTTCCATGAGTTTATCAAACGGATTCTGCTCTGACAGCTTGCACAAACTCACAGCCCCTCCACAGTGCCTCCCTGAACAAAAACAAAAGGCTCTGTACAAGTCTGCACTTCATGGACTAGGGTGAAGACCCACTCAGGGCTATGTCTAAGAGCCCTAGGCTCTGGTGGCCCTGACCAAAATACTCCACTGGGTCTGAGGAAATTTACCTTATTTTTTTTTTAAACTAATGACACCATCTGACTTACTGGAAGCACGGTTCCCCACGAGACCCAGCTAGAAGCTGACAGTCATTGTGCATGCTCGTCTCCCCCTCTTCAACACCCTCCCATCTGTCATCTCCTTCCATGCCTCTCCCACTGCTCTCAGGCAGGCTCTCGTTAAATCCTTTCTAGATTCTTGCAATAGCCTCCCAACTGGAGTCTTCATCTACTCTACTCACTTCCAAATTGCCCTGCACCATTCTGCAGAATAAGCCCTACTATGCCTAATACGGAGCTATTGCCATGTCATGCCACTCAAATCTTTTAGGGTTTCCCACGGTCCACTAGGGAGCAAAAGCCAAGGCCCTCCCACCTAACACAAACCTATATTCCAGCATTTTCTTTTTTTAATTTTTTTATTAAATCATAAACATATAGATTATGCATATATTAATGCACTTATGGGGTACAATGTGCTGATTTCATATAGAATTAGGAATGCTTACATCACACTGGTTAATATATGCCTCATCTCATTTACTCAATTATTGTGTTAAGACATTTACACTCTATACTAATAGATCTGACATGATATTCCAGCATTTTCTGTTAGTCCCTGGTATATTCTGCTAAGGTAAATGGCCCCAGAAAAAACAGCACAGAAAACTATTTCACCTGACCTCCTGCCCTCTCCCATGGCCACATATTTCTTTCTTCTTCTTCTTCTTTTTTTTTTTTTTTCCAGAGACTGGGTATCCCTTTGTCACCCAGGGTGTGGCTGGATCCCCAGATCATAGCTTACTAGAACCTGAAACTGAAGTGATCCTCCTGCATCAGCCTCCTGAGTAGCTGGGACTCTAGGCATGCACCACCATGCTCAGCTAATTTTTAAATAATTTTTTGCAGAGAAGAGGGTTCTAGCTATGTTGTCCAGGCTACTCTGGAACTCCTGGCCTCAAAGTGATCCTCCCACCTCAGCCTCTCAAGCCCTGGTTTATAGCTGTGAACCACTGTGCCCACCTTCCCAGGGTCCATTTCAAATGTGACCTCCTCCAAGAAGCCTCTTGCTGTCAGCCTGGGAGCAAAGCTCATATTGCCTACTCAAAGCTCTGTGGCATTTACTATGTACATCTTAGAATACCTGCCACGTTCCTCCAGGAAGCAGGATGCACAGAGGTTCAGACCGCATCCTTCAGTATCAGGGAGGCCCAAGCACTGATCCACATGTGCCTTCTTCATCAGTTCAGCTGGCTACATTAAATCTATTAACCGCTACTCTTTATAAGTCTCAGTTCCCTTATCTAAAAACATGAACAAATTGGGTGATTTTATGTGACACATTAAATAATATTTATAATGTTTAAAATCATCACACAGTAACCTTCAAAAATGTCAGCTATTTGCATACATCTTAGCTGGTTTTGGTATACATTTTACCTTCTTTAAAAAATGATAAACTCATCAAGGACAGGTACTATCTATCATTTATTTATTGCTGAACCTCCTTTAAATGTAGCTGTATCACCAACTAGTTCTCAACACCAATATGAGATGACCCATCTAATAACAATAAAAGAATAATTACGATGCCAGTACTAATTGGGCATATATTATATGCCAGATGTTGTGTTTTACACATACTTCCTTTCAGCCTCTCAATAATCTGGTCAGGTTGCAATAATTGTCCTTATCTAATAGAATAGTAAATGAAGGCCCAAAGACTTGTAACCACTTTCCTAAGGACATCAACTACTTTGTAATAGAATCAGATTTCAAATTCAGTTCGATCTAACTCTAAAGCTCATTCCATTTCTACTATAATAGGCTGCCTAAAACCTTCTCAGAAGAAAAGTCCACATTTTTTTTCCCTTATGAAAAAAAGATAACAACAACAAAAAGGCTTTATAACATAATTCTGATAGTCCCTCTACAGGTGAGCAGTAGAAAATGGGATTTAGAAGAAGAATAAAAGCTCCAGTGAGGAGCTAAGAGCAAAGAACAACAAACCACAGTCACAAGACACAGTGAGATAGAAACGACACTGAAATGAGGGCAGGTGGCCGAGATGACGCCACCAAACAAAAGCCTGACATATGTGACCAGCATGAAAATATTTAGAAAAAGTAAGGATTAGGAATGACAAAAGTGCTTCAAATGGAGAAAATTCATGGAAAACGATTAATTACAGAGGACAAGGTGCTTTTGATGTACTTTTAAGTAAGTTTCATTTGACATCTGTGAAAGTAGAAGGGAAAAATAAAAACACATTGGAAGGCCTTGAGGGATATTTACAGCATCCTCCGATCAAAGACCATGAGACAAGCAGTTCAGCAGGTAAGACACCGAACAGGTAAGGGCTGTGGGACAGCAGATAGGGTCCAGTTCTGAATTTGATTTTCAACTAGTGGGAACAGACTTTTTTAAAAAAGTAAAACACAATAGCAGGCTATACAGGAGAAAGCAGCTAGAATCTATATAAATGCCAAGCTAAACATATGTCAGATTAGAATGCCTGGATGCCTAAGTTTATGATTTTTCTTCAGGGGTTCAAATCATGGGAATTACACTGCAAAGATAAGAACTATAAAGAAAAATAAAGAGAGAAAATGCAAAAAATATACAAAATAACTCTTTACAACTACTGAAATCATAGTATCTAAAAGCCTTCTCTATAACAGAAAAATAAAATTTATAAAATTTAAGTTCAATTTAGATAAATCATATAGATACTACAGAAATGAATATTTCTTGAACAGCAAGTCTGATGTATAAGATGGAATTATAATGGAAAGATTAACCAAATACACAGTAGGTGTCTGACCAACCAAAATATTTTCATAAGAACAATCATCTTAAGAAAATGACCTGTTCAGTAATCAAATGTCCTTCTTTAGAACACGGCCAGTGCATATATCAAGAGCATAATTTGCAGGGGCTCTCTATCTTTTCCTGACACATCTGAGAAATATGTCTTGTCCTGGCTTTACAAGCCCCTTAACTTCAACTATATTCCCAAGAAAGAAGAGACGGTAAGCACCCAGGCCTCTCCTCTGCTACCTCTGTACAATCATAGAAACCAAGATGTCTCCACAGCCAGGGAAAAGGAAATTTGAATCCTGGTCATGACACTTGGTAATTTCATAACCTAGGACAAATTACCTGGTCATCCTGTTCTCGGCTTCCTCATTTGACAAGTGAGGATAAAGTATGCAACCTCAAATGCAGCTACGAAAGATTTATCGAGATTATGGATGTATTAGAAAATTTCTGAACAAGTCCTTAAAACAAGACCTGTACGCTTAGTAGAGAGCAAATGTACCCCCAAAATGTGTCCCCCAAATGGTCACCTAATTTTAGGCATCTATAGGTAAAGGAGGTAAAGATGATTAAAGCAGCACCCACTGTTTGTTACTAAGGCAGATTTGATGGGATGTGGGCAAATACTAAATAAAGCAGCACTTTTTTTTTTCTGGATTATCCTCCAGATTCTCTTTATGGATAGAAAACTTCCAGGAACAAAGAGATATGACGAAGAATGTGGCTCTTCTCTATTTTCTGAGATTTAACTATACATTGAAAGTTTGGGAATGGATTGTTTTAATGACTGTTTACATATCATCAGTAAACACTGTAACACACAGAGAAGAGAAAGACATGCATGAATTCTGCTTATATTTTTTAAAAAATTCTTTTACACATTCATTTTTCTTGTTGCCCCTAAGCAGGGTTCAGAAGTTCCAGAGATAACGAAGTGACTGTGGGGGGACGAGGAGAGAAATCATTGCTGGATGGGTCCTTACATTTCCTTCAGCACCATTTTACTGGACCAGTCTGACCAGTGTGTAAACTTTTCAGTTATAAACCTTAGGTTGGGCAGTTAGTTAGATAGGAGCAGGGGGGACTGTGGATGTTATCTGTACAGGTTTGAGTGAAGCAGGCCTGCACTGTGATGGGAACAGGGCTAATTTAGACCCTGCAGGTCCAAGGACTTACAGGTGGGTTGTTTGAGGGAGCTGGTTGTTTTGGAGGACTGATTACTGTCCCTATGGACTTTCTGACATGGACAGACAGATATGGTCATACTGACTTGGGTTGTTTTGGGAATAATCTGAATAGGACCCTAGAGAGAGGGCAACCGAGAAAGAACAGATGAAGTTTCAAAGGGGTCTCCAAGGACTGACCAATCAGAAAGAGGCAGGGAAACCACAAAGTGGAGATATTTTCAAGGCCTTGATAGAGGGTCTTTGGAGCATGGGCACAGTTAAGGTAACAGTGTCCCTAAATAAACTACCCTTATTAACATAGTAAAAAAAAAATCACACCTGCCAGTGCCATGACAGTTTACAAATACCATAGCAACCGTGGGAAATTACCTTATAAGGGTAGAAAAGAGGAGGGGTCCCAATTCCACAAATTCTCCACCCTTTTCCAAGAAAACCATAAATATTCCACCCTCCATTGAACATAAAATTAGGGAATCTTGGAGGCTGAC